TCTGAAATTGAGGTCCTGCTGGCGGAGGTAGAGGTTCGTGCGGGGACGCTTTTTATTTAACAATGTGTAATTATTCTGTGGACAATGTGTGTGGTTATATTTTTTCTATTGACTATTATCAAAATTACTACTTCTAGAAATAACATAAATAATAATAATAATAGTAGTAGTAATTATAAAACAATCAGGTTTCCAAAAGTAAGAATAGGCATTTCTTTATATTTACACCGTTTACTAATGCTGCTCAAATGTGATATTAATGTAGCCTACTGACACAAAAATATATAGTAGGGCTGCCCTCGACTAAGGATTTTTCTGGTCAACTAGTCATTCATTTTAAGCATTAGTCGACTAATCGCACGTTTATTAATAAACCATTTAAATCATTATAATGAGCCTTTGCCTACAAAGCCTAATAAGCGCTCACATAAAGCTTGCCACAGCGCACCGGCAGAAGCTACGATTACGAATGTGTCAGGGAAAAACAGTAAGGAGGCTGCATTAACATTTTAATAATTCACTGATAAACAAGTGCTTTCTTTCTTTTGGTTTAAGAGATGAACTCGGCGACACGACTCATCATCTCCGCCTGTGTGACTTTGCCGATGTGGATTTTTTTTCTGCGACTAAGCGACTAAAAAAATTTGGTCGAGCAAGCCTCTTCTGGTCGACTAACGATTAGTCGTGACATGACTATTGAAAGGTCTGACTCCAGAATCACACCAAAATTCTTGACTTGATTTTTTGTTATTTGACCCCTAGAGTCCAGGTATACATTCACCTTAAGAACTTCATCTTTGTTTCCAAATGCAATGACTTCAGTTTTGTCCTTGTTTAACTGAAGAAAGTTTTGGCACATCCAACTTTTAATTTCAGAGGGAGTCAGTGGGGCTGTAGTCATGTGGCTATAAGGCTAGGTAAACCTGGGTATCATCTGCATAGCTGTGATAGGCAATTTGGTTCTTTCTCATCATTTGACTTAGTGGGAGCATATACAGGCCAAACAAGAGCGGTGCAAGAATTGAGCCTTGTGGGACTCCGCATGTCTTAGACGTCCACTTAGGCTGATGATACATAGGGTAACTTTTTGAGCAATGTTGCTGTCGATGGGCAACCAGGTGAGACACAGGGCCCATGACTGATCTTAAGTATTCAGATAGAATTTTTTTTTACCCATTCTCAGTGAGAAAGTGCCCAAACGATGTTCAAAAAAAAGTTTCCCTGTGTATCACCAGCCTTAGATTTATGCTCTTCTATACTCGCATAACCACCTCTCCCTTCTAAGTATGACCTGAACAATTCGAGGACCATCCCAGAAAGCCTGACCCAGTTTTCCAGTCTCTCTAGAATTGTTATGATCGACAGTGTCAAACGCAACACTGAGATCTAGTAGTGCCAGCACTGATATTTTGCCAGAATCAGAATTTAAGTGAATATCATTTATTATCTTTATGAGCGCTGTCTCTGTGCTGTTTCCGATGTGGTCGGAAACCAGATAAAAAATTGTCCAGGTATCCATTTGATTTTGAGTAGTTGTTCAGCTGATTAAACACAACCTTTTCAATAATCTTGCCTATAAAAGGAAGATTTGATATTGGTCTATAGTTGCTCAATATGGTGTTATCAAGATTGCTCTTTTTCAGGAGGGGCTTAACAACTGCAGTTTTCAGGGAGTTTTGAAAAGTCCCAGAAAGAAGTGAGATGTTCACCACTTCTAAGAGATCTGCTTCTAAACAGTTAAGCACACTTTTGAAAAAAGATGTGGGAAGTGTGTCAAGGTAGCAGGTTGATGATTTAAGGTGCTGTACTATTTCATCCAAAATGTTGCTATCAATTGCTTCAAAAACAGGCAAACTCATTGCATTTGGTGTCGGAGAGCATTTCACTGGCAATCTGACTTGGGGTGGTGTTGCTAGTCTATCAACGGTAGCAAAAAGAGTGCGAGTGTTGTTTAAGTTACTGTTTATAAGGTTTGAGAAGAATGTCTGTCTAGCTGTGCCTAGTTCCACATTGAAAGCATGAAGGCTGTCTTTATAGATGCTATAGTGAATTTCAAGTTTCGTCTTCCG